ATGTCTTGTTTTTCAGCATGCTGGCCGCCCATTCCTGAACCGAAGTGCCCGATATCAGTTGGATCAAGGCTTGTATCGAGAAGCCCTGCCACAGTTCCGCAGTTTGGTTGTCTTTCATCCACTGCACAGCTAGGGCTCGCAGGGCATTGTGCAGTTGACCCTGGCGGCTTTGCCGAAGGGTAGACCATGGCTCAGATCTCAGCTTCGTTAACTTCCCGCAACTTTTCCAGAAAGAATCGAGCCCACAGTTGCCGTCAGTTACCGTCTGGATAACATCCAAGGAATTTGCCGCAGCGAAGCTCGCGATGACTTCCGGGCATTGAAGCCCTCCACGACCCTGCCCGGTCGGGTGTTGGAGGCCTTCAAAGGCTTCGGCCCATTGAGCTGTGTAAAACGGCCTCGTTCTGGACATGGAGACTATCAAGAAAATCCACCGAAGCACATGCCGAAACATCAACTTCAGCATAGGATTGAAGAATCAGTATTCATTCGAGATGAAGCAGTGACCAGAGCAAGTCTACGAGCTGCCTTCTGAGCCCCCTGGCCAAGCAGCCGGAGAGTGTGCACAAGGACTGCTCAACTGAAACTGCCCCACACACAGCATCCAAGCATCCAAGTCTAGTTCCCTCGACACAGACCGCCGCCGACATTTCTTGCATGGAGTCAGCAAAGCTGGCACCGACAAGAAACCAGCAAGAGTTTGAGCGGCAATGAGCCGGATGGTGCCGAAATACCACGTGTGCATAATTTGTAGATAGCCACATGATCAACTTTGCTATGAGTGCCCTGGAATCCAGGGCCCATTCCATCTACTGGTAGACCGAGACACCGCCGACATGTACTGCATGGAGCCAATGTGAGTCAGTGATGCAATGCCAAAACTTCCCAGACTGGGCCAGATGATGCTGAGATGGCACGCACTGCGAATGGATTTGACGCTGGCTGTATGTTCGCCCCTCTATCAGACTCCCTGGGTGGGCACAGTGCGTGCCAGCATCCAAAAGCGGCCCATCGAATCTGGGCCCACAACACATTCTGACAGGATGAGGCAGTGCTGGCAGCACTGAGAGAGTCTCGCAGGCTTCTGTGCTGGGCAGTCTGGCACAAAAGTTACTAGAACACACGTGAACAGCTGCACACTCATAGATGGACACTGCTACATTACAGCCATTGCCAGCAAAGACTCCCCCAAACGCCGGCAGAAAAACAGCTTTAAATTGAGGCCGAAGCGAACATGCTCATCAGGTTGCCTGGCACGGGCGGGGACTTCGGCGTCGGAGGTTGGGTCGACGCACCACCTTCGCATGGGTTAGTGAGAAAATGGCGGTTCTTATGGACTGTGAGCACAGGAGCAAGAATCACACATTGAATGTCGTATATACACTCACACCGCCACTGTTTAGCACACACCCTCCAGAAGTAGGTGGAGAGCGTATAGGCTGTAAGGTAGTTTCCTAGCATGGACCCCGAAACGGCCATAAAGATTTATGCCTGTCTAGAGTCTAACGTTATACGTCGTAATGCTGTGCTCCACCATAACCTTAGACTGATCTCTCCCTTTTACCTGTACTGGTTTCTGATAGTGGGGTTGGCCGTATGCTTCTGCTTACGGGCGGGCGTAACACAGTGAAGATGGGACAAGTGATTGTAGAACATGACCACCTTAACTGGGGGCTGCTTTTTGTGTCAGCCCTCTGACCTTTGGATGCCGCACTTCCAGTCGGCGAGGGTGCTGGCGGGGACGGCGTAGCAGCAGGCGGTGTTGTGCCGGCTCGAGGCGTGGTATTCAAAGCCACCGTGCCGCTTGAGATCCTGTTCTTCCTCTCGTACGCAACAAGCTCCTCAGAAGAGAGAGGTCATTTGCTTCCAACAACAAAGGCTTTGGGGTTGACTGCAATCCAAGGCTCCTGGGGCTTCGGAAGCGGCACGAACCCCTGCATAAGGTTCCTGGTAGACACCCAGCGGACCAGGTTGTTCAGGACAAATTTGTGCTGGGCTTGGTTCCTCACCACACCAACGCCGCGCGCCCCTGACATCAGGGCCCCCAGCAGCGACTGTCCGCTGCCACACGACAGTGTGATGAGAACCTCCGCCTTGAAGACCTCCAGGATCGCTTGTGCTAACACTGGCGGGTATTCATGCGGATATGGAATGAGGTGTCCATCTTTGAGTTCACCAGATACGTCGTATCCGTCGGCTTCCCCGTCCATCGTCTCGCCGCGGTCAGGAACGTCCTCGGTGAACAGATTCTCGTGCTCGGCGATGGAGATCTGGGCCAGCTCGTGCACCTGAAGGAGGGGAATTGTCCACCGGTTAAAGTAGGTGTCAATCTCCAGGTAGCGGCTGCGCCCGACGAGGGCAGTAGAGAGCCCTTTGCGGGATACGCACACCTGGGCGGGGATGCGGAATAATCTAGTGGTTTATCGCACCCACTGCCGCATAGCTATGCTTCATGCACACCAAGATGCCAAACGCTCCTCCACGTGAGCACCGAAAGGCCTCTTCCCCCTCCTGAAGCGCTGGAGGACGCTGGCCTCATGCGGATCAATCTGGCCCACCGTCATCGGGTACTTCAGGCTTGCAAGAGCCTTCTTCACGGTCTGGAGCCCGCTGCCTTGCTGGCTCACGCTGTCGACTTTCACCGTCGTGACCATAACCATTTTGGGTCCAGATTCGGTGTCCCCGAGCATCTGCAGCTCCTAGTGACTTCTATTTACGCGCGTGACTTCATGGTAAAGCGTTTGGGCGCACACTGGCCTGAAAGGTCTTCACAGCATTCTCAAGCTTGTCTTTGCTCACCCCAGGCCCGGTCCCGCCAAAGGCGTTAAGCCTTCTCTTTTTGATCTGCTCCCAGTCGAGCGGGCCTCGGAAGTTTGCGACAAGGGTGCAAACAGCGCGTCAGCTTCCGGTCTTCAAGCCAAAAAGCCTCATTCATGCAATTGAGTCCGTGACCGTCCAGCTCGGTGGCATACAGCAGAACCTTCACGCGGGACTCCGTGATCAGGGGCAGCTTGCTCAGCTTGGTGTGCGTGCTGTCATCCAGGTCGGCCACCAGAAGAGTAATGCGGTCTTTTACCCAGGCCCTTGCGGCTGTGCTCAAATGTGTTTCTCGGGCCATGTTGTACTTCGCGAGCTGCAGCTTGTACTCATCCTCCGTCGTGATCACCAGCTCGCAGACAACCTCCAAGGAACCCCCATGAATCATCATGCCACTCTCGTCGGCAACTTTGGCTGCAGTCTCAGGCGGAAAGTCTTTCGAGCAGGCGTCCTTTGCCTTTTGCAGCCTCAGTGCTTACAGCAGAGCTGGCTCACGTGGAAGCATCCGAGAACACTTGTTGAGCTAGGGCCAACGCTGCTTGTTCATGTAGTCGTCCTGGCTAGCCAGCTGCAGAGACTTGCCGGGCACTGAATCCGCCGCCAGCCGACACATCGACCTTGGATGAGTAATCCTTGAAGCAGCTGGCACCTAGTTGTATTACGACGGTCCAAGGAGCAGGTCTGCCCCAGCTTTGCAAATCCTGCTGCAGAAGGTAACCAGGAGCCTCTGACTCAGATACGATGACGCTGTCACCTCAGAGACACACTCGCACAAGTTGACGCCAAGAACAGCCGCAAAGATGCCATCATTATATCAAGTCGCCTCCGCGTTCTCCTCAGCCGCTTCCTCCTGCTGAGCTTGCTGGTCGTCCACACAACCCTCCAGCTCTTCCACGTCTGTAGCTGCCACCTCCGAAGCTCATAGCAAACATGATCAGACCATTTTCAAGTTAGCAAGGAATGGTTCCAGGCACTCACAGGCTCATCTATCCCACCTGTTGCTTGTACCAGCCAACGCTGCCGAACACGCTGAGAGGACCGTCCAGCTTTGGGAAGGTGGCACGAAGATGCCAAAACAGATCTCTGCGAATCAGCAACGACTTGAGAATTCTGGCCACATCAAAGCGTCCAGCGCCATTTCTCAGTGGGCCCAGCGACTTGCGATACTTGAGCTTCTGCTCCCAGAAGAGGACCTCAACCTCAGGAATCTTGGTGAAGCTTAAGTTTAAGGGTTTTTTGGGCCCCGAGCCCCCACATCTGACAAAAGCTTGAGGTTTTGGGATGGTGCACAAGCCCATGGTCAAGGACGGGAAGCGATGTAGGCGCTGTCCTCGTCATTGAGGGACATGCCTCAAGATGCACAGGCGTGTGCAAGATGTGCATCTGTGATCATCTGTGTAAGTACTTAAAGACCGAGCTCACACATATGATGAGATCCGTTATTAGCCATGAGACCCATGAGCGCTCTCATCCCCGCTATGCCGTCCAGGAAGGCCTTCCTGCCAAAGTGGTGCTCGGCACGGGCGAGCATGTCCATCGTTGCCGGGCACGACTTCAATCGACGACCGAGGCCCGCGTACCGCTGCAGGGTCTCAGAGTTCCACTTCAGCTCCGGATAGCTTTTCAGGATGCTGTCCGCCACAGCAGGGTCTGAGTTCTTGCGCATAGCGACCTTGGCCTCGTCACAGATGTTGCTGATGACGATGCTCTTGCGGCACGATGACAACCCCAGAACGTTCCTCTGTTCGTCCTCTTGTTCAGTGGCAGCAAATTTCTTCACTGAGAAATCGAGGCTTGACCCCAAATTCTTGAAGTGAATGGAGATGTCCGCCAGCGATTTCAGCATCCAGGACAACACATGAGCATCGCTCTTCATCATATACACCAACAAGCACGCAGCCACTATCCTTGCAATGGGCTAACAAAACGCAACTGTTGATGTTATCGCACTTGCATGGCTGGAGTACACCATGAGACCAAGGCTCGCAGCGTCATTGTCGGCACGGATGAGGTTGCCGTCCAGGACATCATTCGTCCATAAGTCTCCGTTGACGACCGTCACTCCGACCACATCGTTGAGGTCCACAGGCTTGCCGGACCACTGCCTTAGCAACCATCGCAAGGCAGCCATTTGTTAATCGGAGAAGGCACGAAGCTACAGCTCTGTTGGCTAGGCAAGCCACTGCGCCGAGAAGACCACGCGCGAGGATGGCAGAACTTCTGGGCTGAATGCATATTCTTGGAGGTTCAGCCAACCCAGGCTGCCACCGGTCTGACAGGACCGGCCTTGCCCCAGCATCCGTTTGATGTCCTGCAGCGTTGAGGCTTTAGGGTGCAAGGTTGAGATTTTGAAGTCAACAGCTTCTTGCCATGAATTTGGTCCAAGGAGCAGCGACGCTCTGGGACGGATACTTCTGGCAGGCCGCAGCCCGGTCGACATGGGCTGCCACGAAAGCCACTGCATCTTTGACCGTGCTGAGCCAAGTCCCTTCATCCATTACCCGGTCTACGAAGGCTTTGACGTCCACCGTGCAGACGTCCGTCGCTGCACGCTTGCGGGCCAGGGCATGCTCCTTCCTGGCGACTTGCGCATCCAACGCCGCCTGGTCTTCCTTCTCTGGCACGGACTCCGCCATTGCGAAGCCTGATGTCACAGGTACGGGACGGTGTGTTCGCCTTGACGGCTGCGGCAAGGCACGTGTGCTTCCTCACCCTGGTAACAGGACTGGAGACGCGGAACACATGGGGAGGGGATTCCATTCCAGTGTGAAGCTCGACATCAGCCGACGCAGTAAGTAAGTAGAGTATACCTGCCATTCAAAACAAGGCTTTGTCACTGAGCTTGCACGCCCGGATTCAAATCCGGAAACTTTCACCCGCGAACGAAAGACCCAACCGGCCCGGATTCAAATCCGGAGAATTTCGCCTGCGAACGAATAATGCCATTGGGCCCGGATTCAAATCCGGAGACTCTTGCCCGCGAACGAAAAAGCAAGCGCGCCCGGATTCAAATCCGGAGACTTCGGCCCGCGAGCGAAGATTCAGTCGTCAAGACATAGGGCGAGTCTGACCGTGCAAGCCAAGCGACGATGTGTCACTTGGCTTGCACGCCCGGATTTAAATCCGGGCGTGCAAAACTATTCCGTAACGATTGCCGTTCGCGCCCGCAGCCGCGTTTTGCCTATCGTTCAGGAATAGTTTTGCACGACCGGATTTGAATCCGGGCGTGCAAGCCAAGTGACACATCGTCACTTGGCTTGCACGGTCAGACTCGCCCTATGTCTTGACGACTGAATCTTCGCTC